TATATACTGACCTTTGAGTCTAACTCCTCATTTTAAAGATTAAGAAATTAGTTAAAATCCCATAATGCTTTTCAAATTTATATTAAAAATTTTTGTTTCTAAAAGCTTATTTTCTCTAAGCAAAAACTCAATTATAGCTCTGCTGGAACAATTAGTTATAACTATTTCTAAAAGAGATTTGAGGTTACTAATAGCACACGTTTAGAGATACTTTTATTCCCCTCATTAAACTTAATTCTAAATAGAAATTATGTAGGAAGAAACTAAAAATTGAAAGTAAAATATCAGTACATCTCAAGTATATATTTTTTTGAAAATCTGCATTAAAGAACAAATAGTATACCTAATGCACACTGAACAAGTTCTTGGTAAAAGATGGGATTTATGAGTTCTACTGTTAAGACATAGATTCAAATCTCAGCTCCTCTACCTCTCTGGGCCTGTATTCTTGTATTACAAACTCAGTGAGGTAACCATAATGCCTGGCACAAATAGATCTTCAATGGCTGTTGTGTTTTTTTGGTTTTAATGGTCAAGAAAAGACGTCAATGGATGTTTCAGTTTATTGTAATAAACAAAAAATACTTAAGTAAAAAGTAAACTTATTAGGAAGATAAAGATATATCCAAAGTAATTCATGAGACACATCAGCCAGTAGGGTGATTTTTCAGACGCCATGAGGCCACATGGTCATTATTTTTTACTTTTCTTTGTGTATCTGCTTAATTCTTCTTTTTCTGCAGACAAAATTCTATATTATGTATCTACACGCGTAATGTAGAAAATAGCTGCCCTAAACCTAGAGCTTTCACTTCTCAACTTCAGCACCATCTACACATGATCAGTGTCTCTGGGTCTTTATTTCAAATTCCTAGGGTAGAACGCCCGATTGGCTTAGCTTAGGTCAGGTATCAATTCTTGATCCCATCACCTGAGAGTGGTATCACACACGATACAAACACTGCCACAAGGTCCCACCCTATGGGAGGGAAAAAGACTGGGCACAAACCCAAAAAGTGCCTACTGTAACATTATTTTGCAACAGCTTACTTGCAGAAGTTTCTGTTATGAAAGACTATCATCTCAATTATTCCATGATATAATTATGAAGACATGGTATAAGACATCTAATGTGATCATAATGTTATGAGAGAGACTGTATTTTAGTCCCCCTGCCATCTTTTTTTGTAATGGACAGTGCCGAGCTTTAGCATCTTCTTTGATATAAACATTCTGCCTTTTCTGGAAGATCTTTTAAAATTTATTTGATAAAAAATATCTAAGTCTACTCACCACACCATTTTATCACTTGAAAGGCAGAAGTGACCTCTCAAGGTAGCTAGGGCTGCATAGGTAGAATACAGATGGAAACCAATGGGAATCCCACAGGAACTACAGAATAAAAGGTTGTAAGTGCTGGGGGAAAAAAAACGGAATATATGTAAGAAAAAAAATCAGAGAACAAATACAAAGTAATCAGTCCCTGGAAGCACTCCTAAAATTAAGCTATAATAGGAATGAGAATGAACAAATGTCACATTCAAGAAAGGTTAATTTATATTTTAATATAATTACACCCTAGATTACAGATACCCTTGTATATTCTGGCCACAAAAGAAATCATGGATGTGCAACTGTCGCTTTAATAGTGAAACTTAATTTACATATGAAAAGCAGAAAGAGAGCTATCTAATCAGATTAACATTTAAATATAAAATCATACATGACCTTATAAATTAGCTACCATTAAACCAATCCTCAGTTGAAGTAAAATAATCAAGTTGACTGGGGTTTACTTAACAATTATTAATATAATTCAAATCAAGATTTTTATTTTACAGATATAAAAAAAATTAAATTACCCAGTCAAAATGCAAAAGAGAGAAAAGGAATCCTATTACCATAGCAAGCCATTAATTTTTCTTTTCCTTCATTCTCTGAAAGATTACTGGATGCAGAATCACAGGAAATGCTGCTTTTAGTTCTAGTTAAACCACTTGGGTAAGTCACCATATCTGCTAGTATATAAAAATATCCAAATATTACGAAGATGTTTTAGGG